AATTGTTTTTATCTCAACCCAAGAGTCTTATTACCCTTATCCCTCCAATTCTCTCCCCTGTTGCCTAGGGAGGGAGAGTGAGTGAGCGGCTGTGTTTGGCTGTTAGCCGAGTGGAACCACCATAATGTATATCTGAGTTTTAAAAGAAAAAGTCAGCCAGGTGCTGTGACGGCTTGAGACAGCCCCTTACTCTTTGTTCCTCTGTGTCACTAATTCCATCTTAACCAGTGCCCTGGATTCAGTGCAATGCTATAAGGACAAAGTGCCAAGTTTTTCCTCTGATCTAGATGAAGAACAGCTATTTTCAGCTTACTAACTTGCACTTCTCCTGTGCTCTGCATTATGCGGTAGGCCTGTTGACTCTGCCTTTTATTATTACACGGCATGATACCTAGAAGTGTACTTATGGTCTGAGATCACATCTGGACTAGACACTGGAAAAAAAAAGGAAAAAAGAAACGTCAGTGTCCTTGTTGATTTACCTAACCACTGAGTAACAGAGTCAAGCTCCCTCTTCCTGTTGCTGCTCTGGCTCTGCGTGGTACTTCCACTTACCATGAGTCCTTGGTGGCAATTCAGAGCCCTAGATTCAACATGCGGTGCAAAGCAAGGTGCTGGGATAACACAGCTCAAGGGCAGGCTGTTAGCAACGGAGCTTGCTAATGACTTGGGCTGACAGCAAGTCTGAAAAAAGTATAGCAGCCAAGTTGAGCCGTAAGTAGCTTAATGAAAAGCTCCTGGACCAGGGGAATACATAGAAAGACACCTAAATTGTGGTGTTTTGGAAGAAGAGAGGTACACCCAGACCAGGCTGTCTTTGAGAACATATGTGCACCTTCCTTAGTTTGGCAGTTACAGAGCTTGCCTTCTGGCAAAGGATGCCGCTAGCAAGTTTATGCAGTGAATGCTCTTTCTGGTCTGCCACTTTGACAAATGCATTCAAGATCTAACTCAGCCTAGTGACCACATCCCGCACTCCCTGCTTCCAAGGGAGATCAGAGCGCAGGGTCAGCTTGCATGTTTTGCTGGTTCGTTGGTTACACATTTCTAAGAGCATCACTGACGACTCCGCCCAGTTACCATGTTGTTGCAGGCATAATAAATGTTAAAATGGTTACTAGCTGATTTTAAGTGAACTTGTCTTTCTCAGGGTAGAATGATTAAGAAACCCCACAATGATGCTGGTGGAAAAAAAAAAAATATTCTCACAGATGCTACACATAGCACTGCAAAGAAAGCCACACAGATATTTGGAGCAAGCTGTAAAGAATACACTTCCATCACAATGCTGGAAATGGTTGTGCCATTCTCTCCCACACACTCTCTTCATAGAAACCCTTGTTTGGGAGTCTAATGAGCTGCTTGTATAAACAAAACAATAATTTCCAGTAGTTCTAACACTCAACAGGCTTAAAATAGTCAATGAACATTAACTAGTTAATAAGCAATCTGCCCCCTGAAGTCAAGGAAGTACGCAAGTTGTGACAGCAAGGAGAGCTGAGGAAGAGAGACTGAAAAAACCAGTGAAGCTGGCAACAGTGGTGGAAACAGGAGCAGAGTCTGACCCAGCTTCCAGAATAGCCTTCACAAGCCATGTGCTTCACATATTATCAGGATACTTACTTGGGGTAGAGTAGTGCACAACCTAGTAATAAACAGGGCTGAGGATACACAAGAAGACTGAATATACGTTTTATTGTGTATTTAAATGGACAACACATTTTTAAAATCAAAGATTAAAAGTACCCCATTGAAGTATGCATAATGTTGTAAGCATATGTATCTTCAAAACAAAGACAAAATAGGCTTCACAGCTGCAGGAGAGACATAGAATTAGGAGAATTTTTGAGTTCCCCAAAATTAATATCTTAATGTCGAGTGTTATCTTTTCAATTATCTTGAGACTTCACAAAAAAAGTAGGAATGACTGTACTGGTGGTTCTACATTTAGAAGTGCCAAAGAAAAGCTGTAGTAGAGCACAGAGAGCAGGAGAGCCACAGCAAGGCATATTTCAGGAAGCAGTACGTCTGTAGGTCAGCTCTAATTACTAAAGACAGAGCAGAGCTGTATGATGGCAGCTGGGACTCCTGCGGACTCCAGAGATGCTCTTCCCCTGTGGCTCTCCCTAGACCTGTCAGTGCCCCATTCCAGTATTCCTCCAGTTTGTTCTCATCTGTTGACTTCTGTGAAGAAAGTTAGGGGAGCCATTGCTGAAGATGGTGCCTCTCCCCTCCTTGCAGTTTAGCAGATGTGAGCTGTAGACCCCAGAGCATGTATTGGGCACTCAGCCGTGATAGACATCTTCCCAAGGTTGCTGCTTTTGGAGTAACATGACACCTTGAGCTTGCCAACAACCCTGCAGTCATCCTCAAACCTACATCAGCTTTCTGGTAAAGCTAGATGTGTTTAAGATAAGATTTATTAAATTAGTTATTTGGCAACAAAAACAGTGAAACCAACCAGTACCACCCCGATGTCTATTTTCCCCTTTGACTGAGTCTCAGGCTGAGTCCTGTACCCTGGACAGCAGTAGCACCTCTTGACCAGCTTGTCCCAGCCCAGGCCATACAGCTCCTCAAGATGGGGGACAATCCCTTAAGGGTCAAGCTTTGCTTCTGCTGCAGAAGAGCAGAGACTTGGGGAAAGGTTAATTAATTTTGCTATTTTTGGTAACTTTTCTATAAGCATAGGAGTTTGCTGAAACCTCCTGTTCCATGGGTCACCTCAAGTCATGTACCTGCTGTGATACAGCTTCATTCCAGGCAGATACATTTGAAATTCCCATAGGGATTCACAGTCACAGCCCACACCATGGGGGCATTGGAGGCAATCTCTGCCTCAGCAGCCCTAGCCACCATCCCACCCTTAGTTTCTTCTTCCTGCCCCTAGGCAAACCCTTGTGTTGTGCCAGCAGCACTGTGAAAGGCATGCACAAGTACTTTGGTAGGATTTTTGCTTTAACACACAAGCCCAGCAGCAGCCTGTGTCACAGCAGGTGCTGTAAGCTGCTGTGTTGGCACAGCAGAAGGAATGGAGCCGCGTGGCAGGAGCTGCAAAAGCCTGGGCTGCTGCACAGCACCCATGCTGTGGGCAACTGGCATGGACAGGCCAGGAGCAAGCCTCTGAGCCAACACAGCACAAAACATAACTGTCAGCCTGATGGGGAAACAGGGGACTCTTTTTATTTCAGATGTGCTCATATGGTCAGTGTTGATTGAAACTGCTGTAGAAAAACAAGCAGCAGCCCCCTAAGGAGCTACTCTTGCTTTCCAAGACAGCAGCTTGGAAGGTTTGGTTTATGGTGCGGGTCAGCACTTCAGCACCATTTCACCCTCCAGATCTCTAGCCAAAAGTTGCCATGTTTACATAGACAGCAATGGCTGATCTTATGTCTGCCTTCAAAACAATAATTGTCTGCTACTCACACTATAAATCACTTATCTCCAGTACCTACAGCAGCCAGTTATACTGGTGCTGACCAGATACCAACACTCTCCTCTCTTTGCTTTCTCATAGCACAGCCTCTAGTAGGTGTTTGCAGCTTACACACATGCGAGAGGTCTCACATACAGAAAAGCTTCTCGCTGCAGTTCCATAATACCTCATTCCTGGCTTCTTGCCCTTCATTTAAATTCCCTAGCCTGCCTATAAAAAGAGGTGAACTCTCCACAGCCCATTCTTCAAAAGGTCCCAATTCTCAGACCAGAAAACCAGAGAAATATTTGAGTTACACTAGAGAAAGCAGCAGGATAATATGGATTACTATGGGGCAGATATGGGAAACAAAGGCTCCCAAACCTTGGGCTAGTAAGATCAGTCTTGAGGCAGTTCTCTAAATAGTCTTTTTACCTGGCTGGATTAATATATCTGAAGGTGGTGGACACTAGGGCCTTCCTGCTCTGTGCTATGAAGAGGATAATTCAAACACCTAAAAATGCACTTATAAAGCTCTTAAGTTTGAGTGCATCCTGCTGGTGAAGCTGTTAAGCAAAACTTCTGCAGCATAGCAAACAGATTAATACTAGTGTGTGTCCACCAAAACTGCAACCCAGAGTGCAGATCTAATAGTGCTTAAGTAGCCTTTCAAGCTGCATAGGTAAAATACAAGAGTTTTAGAAGGTCCTGAATTGCATTGTATCTCACAGGTTTCCTTGATCTGGATCCTAATGGAACAAGCCTCTAAGCAGCTAAGGAGATTCTCAGTACTAGAGAGGTAGAAATTACATTTGTATTCATTCTTAAGAAGAGTTTCTAGAAGATCTTTAAGGCTCAAGCACTGACAAGGTTTATATATTGTCTGTAGAAGACTCCTTGGATTGCACTCCTTGGATTCTGCACAATGTAGAAACTTGGAGGACAATTCCAACACCATCTTTGGAGCAAGATGTGTGCAGTAACATGCTAAAGTTACAGCACAGCCTTACCTCCATACTCAAATGTTAGAAAACATAATTCATCAGCTTTACCATCACTATAAAGCAGTCTGGTTTAAGTTTATCAGGTGCATCTGCTTACCCTGAATAGTTACCTGTGCCCATGATGAGGGCTGAAGTGGTCAGATGAGGCAGACTTCCACACATACTGAATAAAGAGATTCCAGCCATGCACATGGAGAAACAAGCTTCAAAGACCATATAGCAGGTGTCCTTAGATAACTGCATTGCCAGAGAAAAATCTTCTGTTTTGTGCAACAAAAATGGAATAATAAAAAAATAAAAGGAATAATAAAAAATGGGGAATAAAATGAACACAAGTCCTTTTCACACTTATTTATTCACAGTAGTCTGTTGACTTTTTTCTTTTGTAGGACATAGCTAGGGAAACCTAACTAGCAACCCTGTCTTCAGCAGCTTTTCACACATGCAACTAAATGTGCTTCTAAACATGTGCACACACACACACACAAATTTAGACCCAAAATGCCAACGAGCATGAAAAAATCTGAGCTGTGGAGAAAGCCAGCATTAATAACACCGAAAGGTCAGGAGCCTGGTGGCAGCTAGAACTCCTGTGACTGGACACATTTGTGGGGTGGCTTAAGTGAGACAGTCTTCTTAGGAAGGAGCTCAGGAAGAACATTAGGTAACACCCCTCCTTGAGCAATGGTCACAGAGGAGAAGAGCTTGTTCAGCTCATCATCATTTCTCACAGCCAGCTGGATGTGCCTGGGCAGGATCCTGGATTTCTTGTTTTCCTGTGCAGCATTCCCTGCCAGCTCCAGGATCTCGGCGCTCAGGTACTCCAGCACCGCAGCCATGTAGATGGCAGCACCAGGACCAATCCTGTCAGCATAGTTCCCTCTTTTAAGGAACCTGTAGACACGGCCCACGGGGAACTGCAGACCAGCCTTAGCTGATTTGGTTTTCTTTGGCACAAGGAGGAGCTTTCCAGTTTTCTTCCCACGTTCAGACATTCTAACATTGATCTAGTATAAAAAGAGAAAGAATTAAAAAAAACCCCAACAAAACAAAAAGACACAGAAACTGAGCATTTAAGTTCTTTCTTCCTCCTTGTTTCCCTGCCTTTCTAATTCCCTTCCCCTCTCAGAAAGTTTGCCAGTTGTTCATACTTTTGTCTAAAGGAGCAGATGGGTCAGGCTGCTGCTCTAGGAGAGCCTGATAGGTTTCCAGCCAAGAAGCACGTACAAGCTCAGTCAGAGCAGCAGGTCAGCCATCTGCTAGACTTCCAAAATTTTTCAAGAGAGTAAGGAGGAATTTGGGAGCAAGGTCTTCTGTCTCAGTATCAAAGGGACAGCTGTCAAGGAGAAAAGTTAAGCAAACTAGGCTTGGCTTCAAGATACTTACAAGGGTTCAGAAACCCTGCAGGGAAGCTTCACTGAACTTACCCCAGTAAGAACCTAAGCAGTTTCTGCAACAATGACCTTGTGAGAGCCAGAGCTAGAAAATCATATTTTTGTCTGAAGTAAGAACAACAGACTAGAACTTAATCTGCTGGAAATCACTTCAAATGGATCTTGTCTTCCAGAGGTGAAGGGACCTATTGCTGCAAGGTAACAGGCCACAATCAGGAACAAGACTTACAGGAAGAAGATAAGCTTTGTTTTACATCAGACACTGAAATTGCTCTGCTCAGCACACTGTGCATCATGCTACTACAAATGCAGAAGTACCATCTTCTTGTACAGTATTGCACCCATTCTAACAAGCCCCATCACTTATTGCTGACATAAAGTCTCTGGTATTGAAGAATACCAATTACTCTTCAATGCATAACACAAAGCAACTGGAAAACAAACAGGAAGATTCTGCTCCTGTATATAGAATTGCTCTCAAGTTTTAATCATTAGTTTTTAAGTAATGAGAAGTTTTACCCAGATGCTGGGAAATCAGATTTCAAATTTAAATGCTTAAAAATACAATAAAAAGTTCTTTTAGGAGATTTTTGTGGGCCTTAGGAAGATAAGCTTCTAAAAATAGCCTACACAAGTAAATAAATTAAAAAAAAAATTAAAAGCCCCCTTAAGCAGCCTTATACCAAATACAGAACTTAGAACACCATTATTTCACTCAGGAGCTTATCTAACACAAAGAAAGCATAGTGTTATTTCTTAAAACAAACTCTCACCTGAAAAAATAATTAGCCTCTTTTCCAACAACACCACTACCCAAATCACCCAAACCACAACTTCTGGCAAGAGCTGCCCCCTTTTAAACTCCACACTGGTAGCCATATAATTACCAGCTCCTGAATCATTTAATGCCACCTGGGTGAGCAGTGATTCAACCACTCAAAATAAAAAAACAATCACAGTCCCAGCACAAGAGCAACTCAGTTCAGTCCCTGAGAGCATGAGAATTTGTCACTACTCCTTGTAGAGCTGCTTAGCACTTTGGTAGCTGATTTTCTCTGGAAACAAGCCTTATATTTACTGCCTCAGAGAACCGCAGTGTCTCTGATTGGCAGTTAATATATTACAGCTGAAAGGGGACACATCTCACCTTTCTGCAGTCATCAAGAATTAAACCCAGCAACCTGTAGCACTGTTCTTTGTGCTGCCAGCAGTGGCCAAGCGGCTTTGTGACCATGCTGCAGAGCCTGCGAAAGCTCCGGATCTCTGACATTGGGTTCTCTCTCATGTCTTGTCCCCACCTGTCACACAGTCCAGTTTTTTCCAAAGTTATGCATAGCTGTGTTGCAAGGCATGATATGTCCTTTCTAGGAGGTGGTGATAGCTGAATGTTTTTTTTTCTTCAACACACAAGTGCTGGAAAGTTGAGCCTTGGCCCAACAGAAACTTTTGTTGAGCAGCTGGGTTAGGAGACCTCTACCCTCTGCTACTATGAAGCCAGAGGGGTGAGTTTTCAGATCACTACACTATCTGGTTAATTTACAAATGAGTTGAACTATTGGCTAGAAGAAAGTAAACAACATTGTTCTTGATCAAATAAATACTTTAAAAATCGACTTCTGAATTGGACCAGTACTTTACTGCAAACTCTATATTTGTGTGTAAGTAGAGGTAGGGCCACACAGCTCACACAGTGTCCTTTGTCATACAGAAAATGACAGGTGGAGGCATTTCCAGAAGGTACTTGAGCACCAGCCGTGTCTTGCAGGGTCTGTTTGGTGTGGTGCAGAGCAGGCTCACAGGAGCAGCTTGCATCCTGGAGCAGCATGATGACTGACAGTTCTCCAAATTAGCAAAGGATGCTGTAAGCACCATGCTTAAAACTGCACAAAATTCATACCTTTCTTGAGTTTTCTACCATTACTGCAAACCATTTCTACCATTACTTGCTTGGCCCAAAGAAACAATCATTCCCAAACCTGCTTTCCCTTGACATGGTCAAATAGCAGAAATAATTTGTTTCATGTGTTCATTTCTCATGTACTGCCTTTAAAGTGTTTTTTTTTTCTCCATTTACAAGTGTAAACACCCAGCACAAGGCTAGTTACATATAACACATCCTCACTGCATGCACTGTATGTACTCTCAGACATTTTTACTTCACATTGCTACAGCATCCTCCATTTTTCTCACTTCACCGGGTTAATTGCAGGCCAGCTAAGATCTCAATAAATTACTCCTGAAAACCAGGGAGCATACAGTGACTCCTCCAGCTGCCCACCACCCTGAAATCACAGTGTCCTCTCAATCAGATATCCTCTCTTCCCAGTTCTATGTAAGCACAGCTTGGAGTGAGTCAGTAACTCAACTACATACCACTCTGACATCTGCCAGCCTCATAAAACCTGGCCAGTAGGCTGACACCCTCAAACCTTGAGGGGACAAAGGAGCTGGATCAAACTCCATAGGACAGGCAGATCATTTTTTCTAAGAAAAAGCTGATGCTACAGTTTAGGAAGCTGGTCCTAACCAGCTTTCTCTGTGTGAGATGTTATGAAGTCTGTGAGATAAGGGCCAGTCACTTCTACAAACAGCACAAATACTGCACCAAATTTTTATATAAGCTACCTATGGTTATTATGACAAGATGGAGGGGATAGAAGTTTAGTGTCATGTTGCAGTCTAAAGAGAGAGAGTTGTTCACTACGGCTTTACAGGCAATAAGACTTTCAACCTCTGAGGCATTGAACTAACTGCACTGTGGATCTGTGACGGAGGAAAAGCTCTCATAAGCATAAATGGCAGCGTGCATCTCAGTTCCTTTCCCTGCTCCATAACAGTTACCTGTAACATGTTTTCAAAAGTAACTTGTACTTGACTTTTAAAGAAGTTATTTACATGGTATGCTAGGCTTTTTTTTTTTTTAAAAAAAAATTTGCTGTGTTCCTCCATCCCTAGAAGGGGAGCTGAGAAAAGAAAGAACAGTGTTGCGTTCTAGGAACTTTATTACAAGCTTTAAAAATGCATTAAAATTAGCAGGAAAGGTACTTAACAAAGAAGCAAACACATACAAATTAGTGCTACTGAGTCCCATCATCCATAAGTGCACAGATCAGACCAGGAAAAGCACATTTCACTGGCTACCACCTTGCTCCTGAGAAGGAACAGCATCTCTGACAGTTTTCTTGGGAAGGAGCTCGGAATGGATATTTGGCATAACTCCTCCTTGAGCAATGGTCACAGAGGAGAAGAGCTTGCTCAGTTCATCATCATTTCTCACAGCCAGCTGGATGTGCCTGGGCAGGATCCTGGATTTCTTGTTTTCCTGTGCAGCATTCCCTGCCAGCTCCAGGATCTCGGCGCTCAGGTACTCCAGCACCGCAGCCATGTAGATGGCAGCACCAGGACCAATCCTGTCAGCATAGTTCCCTCTTTTAAGGAACCTGTAGACACGGCCCACGGGGAACTGCAGACCAGCCTTGGCTGATTTGGTTTTCAGTGGAGCTCCAGATTTGCCAGCCCCTGCGGGTTTCTTTCCACGTCCAGACATTCTGAAGTGTGAGGAGACACAAAGGGTTGGAGATCTTCAAATTACCTGGGTGCTTGGGCTACAGCCAACTGATAGCAAGAAGAGACAAAGAGAGTTACACTTTCTGCTCTTCTGCATCAAGAAGAAATCTTGTTCTTTTCTTGAGGAAAGAGAGCACCACACACCACAGTTCATTAATGGCAGACCTAAGATTTTAACTACTACTACCCTTTTACAGCCCACCTTTTAGGAGAGAGGCCTCATAAAACCAGAGCGGTCTGATAACCTGTCAAGAAAGGCTTATTGAAGTAGATACAAGAAGCTCAAAAGAAAGGAGGCTTTTCCCTGCTCCTTAGAATGTATTTGGGATTGAGGCACAGTTGGTCTTCTTCAATAAGGTTTTCTTGAACACCATAACAGTTACCTCAGATCTAACTTGAAGCCAAGCCTGCCTCTTCCTCCAAGGGAATCTGTATTCTAACTTCTTCCATTATCAAGTTAGATCTTTCTTTCATTTTAAATTTCACAATTGAAAAATTCCTAAAGCCCACAGCATCTTATACCCCCAGAGGCTTGCATACAACATTCTAAATGAATTCCCCAAGGGATATTTTCTGGCTCCTATGAGAGTACTGGAGGTATTCTGCACCAGGAAAAGGAAAAATTGACTTGGACAGCACACTGCAGACTGAAGAATAGAAATTACTGTCTATTTACTCAAGAATAAGGAAATTCAGTCCAGTTAGAGTGGCAGAAATACTCACTTCAATAAAGTTTCTAATCTATAAGTAAATAGGACAGCTTACAGCACAGCTGTTTGCAATATACAAGAACATCCACCACTAGATTAACATGGGGTTTTTGTGTAGTTTTTATAGAGATTTAAATATTTAAGAAAAATCAGAATAAGATTTGCAAGGGAAGAAGAAAAAAATCCCAGCCCATAATAAAATGCAAGCAAACCAAGCCATGACTCCTTATCTCTACTACCAGACAATAATTTTCATATTCTGATTACTCACATTACAGACATACTGTGCTACTAACTTAAAAAATAGCACAAAGTCTACAATAACCCCAAATCTTTAACCATGTACTATAAGTAAAAAATACAACCCATTACCTTCAAAAATTCTTATTTTGGTCTAGTCTGTGCTTTGCTACAGCCTGCACTCAAAGGCAAACAAGCCCCACAACATCATTCCCTCTACTCTTGGGGCAGAACCTTTTTATTAGCAACTTTTTCTCTGGATCACCTGGACAATTAATGAGTCATTCTCACATGTGGTTCATCTTCCTTCTAACCCCTGATTTGGGGGAAAATGAAAAAATACGTTTTAGATTCCCAGAAGCAAATTCTCTCAGGGAGGTGGGTGGGAGAAAAGCCAGGCTGTCTCCCAGACTAAGATACAGCTTTATTTCAATCTCATTGTGATGCTGCCAGCTGTCACCCACTCTGGCTGGAGTATTTCTGTCTCTCCACCATGTGTAAAAACAGTCCTTTCTTTCCAAAAAAAAAAGTACACAGGGGAAATGTGCTTTATAAATATGATGTATTTTTAGCTGGCTGGGAGGGGGGAAACCGTGTATTGATTTATGTGTGTCCTGGGCAGAGAGAGTTATGCTTCATTCACATTGTGTCTGAGCCCCACCAAGTGATGTGATGAGGCTGCTCCTAAGATTTGGGCTTCTGCCCCCTCTTCTGGTAACTCTCTGCCCCAGACAGGGCTCAGGGTTTACTGTGGGAACAGAGTGGTTCTGGTGCCAAGGGTCCTTAGCTAGTTTCTCTCGATTCACCTGGGCAAAAATCTCACCTAGTGAAAACGAGTATTTTTGAGCACCTTTTAAAAAATGAGTGCACACTCTCTGCTCGTGCTCTTTCTGTGTTTGTTTTTGGTGCTCAAAATAGGTTCCAACCAGCAACATGCAAGAGCCGTGGGTGTGAATGGCATTTAATTCACAAAAGATGACTATTAAACAAGCAGGTCCTCCTGAAAGCCCAGGCTCTGACAAAACATTTGTACAGTAAAACTAGCACAGAGAGCTAAGCTTTTGGTTCTGCATGCTGAGTACTAACTGCAGATCAGAGCCAAAAGACTTTCGAGCACTTGCAGAAGACTCCAAAATTATGATCCCAAAAACTTTAGCTCCCATGCTGCCCTGCTGGAAGGCTTCATAGCCTTTTACTTTCTGACTTAAAGTTCTCACATCACCTATATTTGTGGCTCCATCTATCACTCAGCCAGCTACTCTTCCCACAAGGATGAACATTTAGTCCAAACTGTGTGAGGTTGAGTCTTCCTCCACCTCAGAGCCCTGGGAGATGGGTATGGGGCACCTTCCACTCATTCATCAAATACTCCCCATAAGTACTGTTTTCCTCTCGAAGTGCAGCTATCAATTTCTCCTAATTCAGAGGCGGAAAAGGTGGCTGTGCCTTCCCTTCAGTAAACCAGACTTAGCACAGAGTAAGTTCCCCTGCACGCTTCAGGATACGTAGGTGTTAATGGGGTGTCCATGATGTTATAATGTGTTATAACGGGGGTTCTGAATTTCCATTGCAAGCGCTTGGTGGGGCAGAGACACAGTCATTTCTCCACACACCCAGGACAAATACACTCTTGTGGCCTGCTGGTAAGTTGTGTGGAGGCGTTTTTCTGGGCACTTAAGAGCTGGGCTCCCCCTTTCTGGGCAAGTGTCCTGACCATCGGGCTAGAGCATAAAAGGAGGGGGAGGTGGGAGCAGACCTCTTCCCCCTTCTCTGCTGCGTGTCTTTGAGAAGAAAGCACAAGGTCTACTCAGTTCTTTGAAAGGGCAGAGGTGCCCATTTTTAGGTAATAGGGTGTTGCTCTCAAGTGGATTGGGGTCACCACACTTGACCCACTCCTCAGTGTTTGCTGAGTGATGCTTTAATACAGACTCAAAAATAAAATAGAAGTAACTATCTAAATATAAATTTATTGTAATGCTAATTGGCTATGACCCAATCCTAACAATATTTGAAGTACTGATAATTATGTCTGAAAGAATAGGTAATAATCCCTAACATTCTGTGATTCTGTGTGTGTAATATAGGTTTGATTATTTTATTTTCTTTTTTAACAGAAAAGGGAAAGAAAAATGAGAGGAGAAGCAAGGGGAGAAATAAAGCAGGATATGAAATGCAAACTGTCAGAAAGAGACTCAGAGAGAGGAAAGGGAAGAGTTGCAGAGAAAACTCCAGGTAGAGAAGAGCCCCAAAACTCACCAGCACTATTTGGATCCTCCTAGGGAAGTGTTCCCTATGGCTGACAATTTATTTGGGGTGTTTCTGTGATGGTGCCCAGTTTGGTTTATGTGTTCAGGTTTATGGTAGGTCCAGGACGCTGGCTGGCGAGCGTGAGGACCTGAGGCCGTGCCCAGCTCAGCACACTGCCCAGTTGGGATCCCACATCTCATGGCCACGCTGCTTCCCCACTGTGCTGTACAGGGCCACACCATCCAACAAAGACAAGCCACCTGGGGCTGGGCAGGAGGGATCGGGGCTCACAGCTCTGCCACCACACTGCAAGGGTGCCCGTGAACTCATTTCAGCAGGGCTGACCCACAGAATATGCACTTCCTCTTCCTGCCTGATTGCTCCACAGGTGAGAAAGGAGTGCTGGAAGGTGCTAGGAAGTAGCTCACTCTTTCTATTTAACTTCTGAAACAGGAGTTTCAGAATGTTACATGTTTTTCAATCTGATACTAAATTCCTTGTTTTGCTCTCCAGTGCGTAACTCTTTTCCAGGGTGCGTTTAGCTGGCTGCTTTTAGGCGACGTGATTTCATATCCCTCGCTGTGTTGCTAAAACAATGATAAAGTGGGCGAAGCAAGAGCAGAGCTGCCCTGTAGAGCTGGCGGAGCTCGGACGGTGAGGGAACGGTGCGTGGACAAGGAAAGGTTTCCCAGGTTGTGCCGGCCATGAGGCTCTGTCACCTGGAAGCTGGGCAGGAATTCCTCTGCCCTCCATGACTTACATCCTGTGTTGTTTCCGAGCTGATGTTGGTTTGGGGGGTATAAGGAGAGGGTAGGGGAATCTCTCCAGGCGAAGGGTGCTTGGGTTAAAGCCCTCCTGAGATGGGCTTTCAGCAGGGCCACAGCCCAATACGGCCCCATCGGGGTAAGTCCATGACTTGGGTGAACACCCTCTGTCCAAAACGCCTCCAGAGGCAGCTGGGGGCTGGCGGG